TTCATGAAAACATCTATGAAAATCTGTGAATAAAAAAAATATGTACACCAGTACTTACTGTTATTGTGTGCATAACGTGGCACCTATCCGTATATGAATCGCTAATAACCTATTGACTTATTGTTTAGTAATGTGCTACACTTGAGAGGCTTTGCGTTGTGTGCCCTTTTTACATCCCACAGTGAATATTGTACTCTGTGTGTGTGTGTGTGTGTGTGTGTGTGTGTGTGTGTGTGCGGCACCTGTTTGGATTCGCTCTCAGCAGCCACAAATGGAATGCTCCGCTCTCATTCCTTATATGGGCATAATGCGCCTCAACAGGAACTTGGTGTCTCTGTTATTATTGTCCTCCCCGTGAAGCGTTTTCTTCCTAGTCCTTCTAAAATCAGGAATTTTTGTTTTTATACCACAGTAAAAAAAAAAAAAGTTCAGTAAATGTTTGAGACATTATATAGATAGTTACAGGGGGCTATTTTAATGCTGGGTATTTTTTGTGCGCATGTGAAACAGTCTCAGGTTTTTGTTTCCTGTCGGAATCGATTTGGCTGCGCTCCTTCTATTTCCGCGTCTGGGAGGGGAACAGTGGTGTGATTTCAGAGAACTCTTATCAGTCAAAATGCAGGTTGGTAAACCTTCTTTAGTTTGTTAAAAGTCACAGCGTACCGGCTGTGAATAAGAATACTTAATGTCATTTAAAGCCGTGTAACGTGACGACTTAATTTTCTAGATATTTAGCCAGCAGTGTCTCTGAGCACTCAATAGCTTTACACTTAGCTAACAAGCTAGCCCTATAACACTTCAAACCAGTTAAAAAGTCTCGGAATAGTCTGGGACCAGAGTTGAGACGATTACTGTCAAACTAAAAATAAACGTTGGCACACGAAGACTTTTATATGGTAGCAGATTTGCTAAAATATTTTGTGGAAACGATAAAAGAAAATGTAAAAACTTTTAACCACTGATAAATCCAGTGACCTGTAGTCTTTTAAAAATGTTTATAGTTTATTTGAGTTTAATAAGTGTTTATTAAAAGGGTAAATAACAAATAATGTTTTGATGTTAACTTTTTAACGACCTGGAGCCTATACTACGAAGCGAGTTCAACATACCCAGGGCTGTGTTTCCGTTATCTGGATTCACTCATTCTAACATTGGCTATAAAGATAAGCAGTCACCCAAAGCTGGGTATCTGCTTGCTAAGTCACATCAAAGGGGTTCTGTTGACCAATCTAGTAGGGACGTTTCACGGATCATGAGGCTTTTCTTCCGCAGAAAATGATCCCAATGAGTGCCGCTAAAATATGATCTGCAAACAAATCCACTCAGTTTGTGATAAAATAGGAGTATAGCAGAGCTCTTATACATTCACTTTAAGCAACTATAAAACACATCCAGACCCATAGAGTGCACATGCCTTATCTTAGTCCATAGCACTATCTTAGCTTATTTGTTAGATCAAGTTAACTCGTGGAAGTAATTTGTTGACACAAAGACTGACCTTGGAAATGTCATGTTGTTTTTTCACATCACATGGAAACCCAGATTAAAAGAAACCTTTTTCTTTTCTCTTTAGGACCCAAATGAAGATACAGAGTGGAATGATATTCTGAGAAAGAAAGGAATTCTTCCTCCCAAGGAGACACCTAAGGAGGATGAAGAGGAGGAGCTGGCCCTCCAACAGCAGTCTGTTGGTAAGAGAGATCAGTCATTCTTTGTAGCTTAAACTGCAAAAGGCAAATTTTTACCCAACCTAACATAGTTTGCAAATACCAGTTAAATGCACATGAAATATTCAGATGTATTATTTGATATGTTAATGTTTTTTTTTCTCTGATCAGTTAAAACATATGAGGACATGACATTGGAAGAGCTAGAGGAAAATGAAGATGAGTTCAGTGAGGAAGATGAAGCAGCCATTGAGATGTATAGGTAAACAATACAACAACTGGAGCACAACTCAAGTAGAGTGGAACAAGAATAAATAATTTCAGCTTTATGCTGGTGGTTAGTTGCCTGTTTGTTTACACCTTCTGCTTGCACCCATTAGACCTCTTGATCTGTTATTTTTTTGGTGAGGTACTGTTAAATTATCTTGGGAAAAGCTGATTTTAACTATAATGTGGTAGTTAAAAGTATACTTAGTATTTTCTATTGGACATGAAAAAGAAAACATTTTGCTAGAGAAGAAAATCTCTGTCTTAAACTTTTCTTGTGGATTGATAGTCATGTGAGTTTGTCGGGGTACTGATGTAGGCTGCGTGTCCTTGCAGACAGAAGCGTCTTGCAGAATGGAAAGCAACCCAGATGAAGAATGTGTTCGGTGAGGTGGCAGAAATCTCTGGACAGGACTACGTCAAAGAGGTCAACAAGGCTGGAGATGGCATCTGGGTGGTGCTGCACCTCTACAAGCAGGGGTAGGTCATCCAGTAAGCATGAATGAGGAAAATATTGAGTGAAGTTTTTCATTTCGTGTTTGTAAGGGTATATTTACCATTAATCTCAGTTATTTTACATGCTTTTTCTTTGAATAGACTTAGCATTTCCAGGTTGCTGTTATCATTAAAATGTTTTAATTGAACAGTCGGATTATGTTTGTTCAGTTTTATATATTGCAGCAATTAAAATGCTATTGAACAAAATCTCAAACAAATCTACTCTCAAAGTTAGAGAGAATTTATTTTTGGTGATGTGAAAAGCTGTTCTAAGTCCAGAACACTTCATGGTTGGAGGTGATCCTGGTATTTTGAGCAGGTAAACTGCAAACCGTTGCTGTTTAAAATACAATGTCTTGTAATTCTTAAAATTAAATTCTTTGATTTGTTAAATTACCTCAAATTTATTTGATAATGTGTTATTTCCATTCTTTATATGCTTCTGCTTAGATATGAATATTTTTTTTCTTTTCTTCATGCACTTGGTTGCTGTTTGAATATCTGTTTTTGTGTTTTGTAGTTTGGATAAAATAAGAAGGGATCAGTTAGCCAATGGCAATCTGGAGATTTTGTAATTAACTAACTGGCCAAATAATTAATGCCATTGGGCCATCATTGTGGCTCACGTCCCCAGTACTGTGCCTAAATGTGATTCGTATTGGTATAACCATTCAGTACTGCTGATCTGATGCTGTCTATTTCATATTCCACACACATTCACTTGGGGCAGGAAACAATTACTGACATTAACATTAACTGACATTGACATTAAAAATGAGCAACTGTTGTCACAAAGTTTACCACCAACAGGTCAGTCTGATGTTTTCTCTCCATTCATCTCCCTTACCAGCATCCCTCTGTGCACCCTTATCAACCAGCACCTGAGCACATTAGCCAGGAAGTTCCCTCAGACCAAGTTCCTCAAGTCCATCTCCACCACCTGCATCCCCAACTACCCCGACCGCAACCTGCCCACCATCTTTGTTTACTTCGAGGGCGAGATGAAGGCCCAGTTCATCGGTCCTCTGGTCTTTGGGGGCATGAACCTGAAAGTTGAAGGTAAGAGGCGACTGGCTGACAAAACCGAACATTTTTTAAGCACAAAACTAACTGACTGTAGGCCTGACAGACCTATTTCTGAGTGGATACAATGATCGTTTTGTGTTGTTTTAAACTGGAAAATATCAGGAAGTCGGTACACAGGTGTTGGCATTTAATCTGAAATTTGTTTTGTCATGTTTTCATTTTTCAGCAGTTGCACTTTTAGTCAGGAAGTTTGGTTTTAATGATAGGTACTGTTAGAATTTGTTAGGGAGTTTTTATTGTTTTATTTGCTTATGCTTCAAAAGTTATGTTATTCATATTTCCCCAGACATAGTTTTCTGTAGAAACAGGAAGCTGACCCTGTGACACTGGGATTTACCGCAAGAGACCAGCACAGAAATACATATCTGCAGAAGTTGACTTGCATTATATTATTCTTAGAAATTGACCTGCAACACACATACTCTGTGACACACACACACACACAGCTTGCATGCAGACAGACATCAGGACCTGCGTAACAGGAAATGTGATTATATTTGCATATTGACGATGTAACCTATAAAAATAAACGAATACTGCAGTTCGGTGTGATTTGCTCTGAGCTTTTCACCCGTGCCGCACGTTGTCAATCTCAAGTGTCTCAGTGTTGTTTACTCACCTGACTGTTTGTTAACTGTAAATCTCTGACAGAATTCTATTAAGTCACTAAAGCTCGTTTGAGAGTTATGAATTTATTTTCAGTACATCTCAGTGTATTGCATGTAACTTTGGACGCTGCAGTTTGTCAATCTGTTGAGCGATATTGCATCGGCTATACCTCATGTTATGCGATTGAAGTGTCTATAATTCATGTTGTGTGTCCCAATCAGAGCTGGAGTGGAGGTTATCAGAAACTGGAGCCGTGAAGACAGACCTGGAGGAAAACCCCAAGAAACAAATCGAAGACAAGTTAATGTCATCGATAAGAAGTTCACTTCCTACACGAAAAGACAGTGACTCAGAGGATGAGGATTAAAAAAAATGAAACACCTGTAACTTCAACCGCAAAAGCCGTGTAACAGCTACATGGAAAACACTGCGAAGACCTTAAAACCGAGCAGAGGGGGCAGCTTCTCCTTTGTCAGCATGTGCGTTGTGTGTTGTAACCATGTAGGTGGCGCTCTTATACTGGATCAGTCCTGTATTTGGACAGGCCACTGGGCTGCTGGAAAGTGTCAAACCTGCATTATGATCATCCTACAGTACATTTCAGCAGGGGAAACAACAACTGTTTTGTAATTTGAATAAACATTGAACTGTATCAACTACGTCTTCACAAAAGCATCACAGGCGAGTTTTAACTTTTTTTAATACCGTTTCATGATAATTATGTCACAAAATGTACATGTACATTTAATTCTGGTAAATTAAATGTGAGTTCACCTCTTTGCCACAGCAATCAGTGACAGTTTTGTGTTGTTTTGTTTTAGATACTCATGTCTTGTGTAACAATCTGCCAAATTTGCTTGGTGACAGTTCCCGTCCAATGACACCAATTTTTTATTTATTTTTTTGCATTTGCAAGCAACAAGACACACGGCAGCTTTAGCAACACACTTCAGTTTTTTTCCAGCTATACAATCAAATTGTTTCTGTTAACAAAAAAGTTACAGATGCTGTTGCGTGGTCCATCAGTTGATTTTGAGTGTGATGTCCGCAGGTGGATCTGCCAGCTGCTCTTCTTCTGATAGGTGTGTGTTTGTTTGTTTCCTTTTACAACATCCCCTCTGGCAGACCTCGAATCTTCTGTTTAATTAGCAGGAGATGAAGAGAAAGAGTCAGTCACTACATTGAACCTGAGTAGTAATGCAATTAAAAGTGATACATGCTGGCTAATTCTTAATCACTGGTTCACTACTTCTTCACTACCTGAAAAGGTTAAGTCTTTATAGGCAGAAGAGAAATGAGTGGAAAGTATGGGGGGTGTGTGTGTTTTCGAGAATGTCTGCTGTATGTGCAGAGAAGAGATGAAAATGTTTCTGCTGTTTTTAGTCTTAATAATGGAAAAAAATGCACATTTTCACTTTAGCGCCATAGTTTTAGCATTTATTATATCTCTGAAGTGTATGGAGTCAATTTTGGAGGGGCTAAAGGACAGTTTGGGCAACTTTTTCATGTGTGCCGTGCCAAAAACATTTATTTCCCCAAATTTTAATCTAGTTTCTTAACTGTATTGTTTTGCCTACTTAGACATTTTTTAGTGAGATGAAATGAATTGTGGGAGCAATAAACAGTTCCTGCTTGAGCAGCTCAAAACCCCTTCAGCTTGCAAACACTGATTAACGTGAATGGCTCACCAGCCAAAAACAGTTTACTACCTCCAATTGTTAAGTAGGAAGCTTTAAAAGTCCCTAAGCTTGAGAGATGACCTCAATTGTCTGCAGTTTTTCTATCCGCTTCATTCATAACCCTGCTCTGAAATCTTCAAGTAAAAAAATCAGTTAAAAGCATTCAGATCTGTGTTCTCACCAAAAGTACCACCTTCTTCTTTCTCCTCTGGGAAAGCTTTGGTGAAAGTCGCATGAGAGGGTGAACTGAATGAGACTGGAGGAAGAAAGGGAGAGAGCTTCATGAGGATCTGCTGAGTAGGCCAAAAGACCAGAATTTTGCTCCAGATTTCAGTATTTAAAGTCGCATTTGCCACCTGCTGTCATGCTGTATCAGCTCTGCGAGCGAGCCGACAGCATCCAAATGGCCAGCTCTGAAACTGAAACTTACTTAGGTTTGTTTGCCGTTTTCGGGGGTGAAAAAAAGAGTCTTTAGATTCGTTCACTTCAACAGGTTTTGAATAAAAATTCATAATCAACCTGAAAGCCTCAAAGCAGATGTTTTTTGTTCTCCTTTTCCACCCATGCTGCCAATTGAAATGACCAAAAGCAGTTTAAGCACTGCATTAAATTAAAGCAATAACTCTCGAAAATGACAAATAAATGGAAACGTCAGACACTAAGTTTGATTGGTTTGCTCATTTGCTCACCTCTTTTTGTACAGCTCCAACAGAGTTGCGTGCTTTGGAGTAATGAAACAGGAACTAGGGGGGGGGGAGCAGAATCAGTGAGCTGGTGCTGAACAAACAGCAGAAATGATGGAAAAGTGTAAAGACAACTAGGGAAGAAAACCTACTCTTTTGAAGACATTCTGAACCTGCTCCTGTGGGGGAAGGAAAACAATTAGGCATTAATAACAGAATTAAAGTTTTCACACTCTATCCTGCCTCCATTGACTCTTGAATACAGTAAACAGGCAAAACAGCAACAATTCACCAAAACGTAAGAGAGTACACAATGATTCCAGCTCTGTTACTTCCTTTGGGTATTGTGGTATCATGTCATGTTGTCTTCCTGTTGACTCGGTGGCTCACCTGCCCACTCCATAACTTCAAAAAGAGATAAACTTGGGTAGCAACCCAGACACAGTCATGTTTATCCTGCTAACCGTCAGGATAACCGTCTAAAACTGTCTTTTTTTAGAAGCACTTTTTTTTCGTTTTGTCATTTCTCCTCTTTGTACTTCTGCCTTTGCTGTGATGTAATGGTTTTTATTTAAAGGACGTGCATTTGACACAGCTTGTTGAAGAGAATTGAAATTTGACATGTGACCATCTATTGAACTGGACTTTTATTTTTTAAGGATTAGTTTGTCAGCTGTGGTTTGAAGGTATGGTTTTTCACAAGTCAAGCATTAAAAGCAGTTTTTAAAGTCATATAGTTTGTGATCATACGTCGAAAACCCCTTTAAAGTGTTAGCATGAGGCCTATAGCATAGAATAGAATAGAATAGAAACCTTTAAAGTAGCTTTAAAATGTTTGCCTACCTCATTCTGGTCTCTCCGCAATACACCACTCAAATCATCACTTCTGATCCCTCGCACCTGCGAACAAACAGTACACTTATTTACAGCTTGAAAGCTGGCAGTGAATGCAACATAATACCTTTGACCAGTGATTTTTCTATTCTTACTTCTTATTTTCCCATAAAACACAACATCAACACTGTTTGGAAGTAAAATAGAACATTTGTACTCAAACTTCTAGTGTCTGTATATTTCTTGTCACAGAGTTGCTTAAAGCACTGAATGTGTGGCTGAGTACAGATGACATTGTTCATCAAACTGGCAATAAGTAGTGCTAATTACACAAGAAATGTAGACCAGAATGAGTGGATCATCCACTAAGTTAGGAGGAAAATAACAACAGCAAAAACAAAAATTGTAGAGACTTTGAAAAATGCCTCAGTGATGGAGGGATGATTGTAAATGAAGAGTCTCACTACCTTTTGTAACACTATGCCGTCTTCCCACTGATCAAGAGGACTGGCATCTGGATAAAGATACACATAATGTTAATACTTATCGATGTTTTTATAGTAGGGCAGCATAATTCAATAAATGTAATATTGTAATTGGACTGATACCACGACGTCATGCATATGTAGTCCAAAATAATAATTTGGAAGTCCTTTATCATCATTTATTGTATTTTTATGTGTTCAAATTTAATATTATTATTAAGCCTCTAATATCAGGAGGCTGCTGGTGTATGTTTGATGCAATACTACATATGACTGTGAGGCTCGGGCTGCTCATGAGTGACTGTTATCGAACGACATGCTGAAAACGTTCAAGCTTTCCTCAATAAGCATCTTTAAGCTGTCAAAGAAACATTTCAGAATAATAACATACAGGTTGGAGATAGTGTTATGAATTTCCGAGATCTCATTAAAAAACCTATTTGGACCGACATCCACTGGTTCTGTATCATTTCATTTACAATTTTCTCCATGTTAACATGTTGCTGTCTGCATAGATGTGCTTACGTCACTGTCACTGTGCGTTTCAGAGTTAAAACAGAGCGCAACATTTTAATATGAGGTCAGGTAAATGCTTTCCATCCAGGTATCACACTCCTTCATTTAGAAGGGAAATTTATTTGATAAATCATTTTAATAGGGGATCGGTACTTGTAATAGAGTACGTTTTACATTGATATAATTCTACTGGTACTAAATTTTAATAATAAATGCATTTTTTTCTCTTACAATGAGTCATTTATAAAAGATTTCCCCAGTCTGAGCAGAGCACCCAGACTGGAGTAAGACTGTACATATTGTACCAGATTTTGCACTTGCACACAGTGTGACTTTTTTTTAAAAAGTGGGATGACCTTGAGCTAACATCACCTATAGGGGCATTTATGAAGAATTATTATTAATCAGAATCATACATTATGCCTATCACATCTTGGTGTATCACCAGTCACCATTCATTACATCACAATCCATTCACTACATACCAATTTTATACTTTTGTTTAAAATATCCAGTGAAGAAGTCTTATTAATTAAAAAGACTGCGCAAGATACTGCTTCTTTGAGTACAAAGCACATCAACCTATATTTATTAGCTCATTATGAATCTATCCAGCACTGATAAATCATTCAGTGACAATGAATGATTGAGTTAGAACTTATTAACCATTTCAATGTTGGCTACGTTGTGTTACATTGTGGAGTTAGTCCCTCTTTAATTGCCTCTGAATCCACCTATGCATTGCTTTTTTTTTTTACATATACTGAGAGTTTAAGTGCAAGCTGAAATAGTCCTACAACTATGACTCAGATATTCCTTATTTCCTGAAACCAGTGATGAAGCCTATTTGTTATATAGTGAGCTGGAATTTTTCACTTCTTGCATCAGGATTAGTATGCCATAAATAATTATTTTAAAAACGTACACTAAATGTACGACTGGCTTCATAACTTACAGGCGCATTCATAAAGATATAAAACCTTAAAAAATGCACTCAAAATTACACTTTGCTTATAAGCGATCACCACTGAAAACAACTTTTAGAGCATGATTAATTTTAGCTGCCAAAAACAACTCATGCACCTTGACGATGGTGCTGGTTTACATGTATCTGACTCAGTATCATGCTTCACCCACCTGTTGTGCTCCAACATCCAAAGCAAATGAATAAACACAGCAGAAAAAGTTGTTGCACAGCTGACAGAGTCATATCTCCACTTTCTTCTTCTTCTTTTTTCTCTCTGTGTTTGAGGAAGGTCTGCTTGACGTGGCTCTGCTCTCCGGTCTCGTCTCCTAACAGCTGTGAGTGTTCTGAATGCATTGCCCTCTGCCCGCAGCACTTTAAAAGCACGCAACTTTGCTGGCTGACATGCATCTCCTCAGGTGGCCAATCACAAACACACCAATCTGAGCATCAGCAAACCCGCTTGCGCAATCTCCAACGCACCTTGCACTCCCTCCATCTCTCTCTCCCTCTCTCTCTCTCGCTCCACTCACAGGGCGTAGAGTTGGAAAAATACAGAGCACTTGGAATGTTGAGCTCTGGGAGTATTGGGCTGTTTTGCTGCGTGGACTGACGTCAAGTTGATAACAAAGATATGACTGGTCTCCTTCAGGAAAAGGAAAGTGGATGGTGAATCTGATTAAGAAAAACAGCCAATAAACTGCATTAAATGTTAAAAAGATTACCAGCATTTAATGTGAACTCCTGCCGGGAAATCGTTATTAACGAATGATAACTGTATGAGGTACTCACATATCGCCTAATTAAGATACAGAAACAAATGGACACTCTCAGGTGATTCCAAAGATCTGCAGCTATAAATGAATATGAAGATTCATGCTCTCCTGTTCTGGTCTTGATGTAAATGTTACTGGGATGCGATTAGACGGTGATTAATTTTCGTATGAGGAGATTTGTATGAGCTTGAGTAATATGGTATGTTTGCTTTAGTCAAAAAGTTCTGCTTTAAAACAACCTAAAACAGCATGTTGTTGTTTCTGCTGGGTTATCACATGCTGTAGTACGTTCTTACAGGACACATTATTTCTAAATGACTTGTGTTAAATCCTGGCAACCCTGGACTTGCAATATTCCTGTCACTTCAAAGATAATCTGGAAATGTCAGGGAATAAGTCTCTGCTTCGGGAAAACCAAGAATTGAGCTTTAACTTGTTTCAAACCCCTTTAGAAGCCTCAGCAGCTTCTAAAAGTTTCTGAACACAAGAGTTTCATCAACTAGGGAAGTCTAATTTTTCAGCTAAATCTTATTCTGAGAAAGTAAGACTGGCCTGGCATCTGTTAGACTGAAAACCCTATGAGAAGCTACAGGGCAAGTTAAAGCTTGCTAAAGCTTCCTGAAGTAAGCATTCATAGATAGATAGATAGATAGACCTGAAGCCTGCATACGTTGTTGTTTTATTTAACAGATTAAGCAGCACACCTTGTGTCAGGTGGTGCTGTGACGTGGACACTGTATGTTATTCTTTCAGGGATTAACTGTTCTGATCGAGTAGACTGGAGGCAGAGCACTGCACTCATATTTCCCCTGACACTGACACCAGATTTTGTACCAAAACCTACTAATAAAGGTGAATCTGCATTGTTACACCCTGGAAACACTTAATTTTTTTCTTATTCATTGTTTTGGTTTTCCTATTTTTTTTTCCAGCGATCAACTCACAGGTGATTAACACCCGATTCTGAACCTCTGCTGTGTTTTTTAACCTCTTTTTATTCATTGTTTTGGTTTTATGAAAAAAATCTGTCCCACAAGAAGCAGATAATCTGTTATCTGTGATAGACAGACTTTCGTTGGCAGAGAGGAATATATTAAACCAATAAATTACACAAAGGTTACAGACAAAAATGATCTAATATTTTTTGATAATCTATGATTATCTCTCACCCCAACCGGTCGCAGCAGATGGCCCCGCCCCGTCCTCAGCCTGGTTCTGCTGGAGGTTTCTTCCTCTTAAAAGGGAGTTTTTTCTTCCCACTGTCACCAAAGTGCTTGCTCATAGGGGGTCATATGATTGTTGGGTTTTTCTCTGTATGTATTATTGTAGGGTCTACCTTACAATATAAAGCCCTTTGAGGTGACTGTTGCTGTAATTTGGCGCTGTATAAATAAAACTGAATTGTTTTTAATACCGGGCAGCACGGTGGCACGGTGGTTAGCACTGTTGCCGCACAGCAAGAAGGTCCTGAGTTCAATTCCAACATCAGGCCGGGGTCTTTCTGTGTGGAGTTTGCATGTTCTCCCCGTGTTTGCGTGGGTTCTCTCCGGGTACTCCGGCTTCCTCCCACCGTCCAAAGACATGCAGCTTGTGGGGATAGGTTAATTGATTAATCCAAATTGTCACTAGGTGTGAATGTGAGTGTGAATGGTTGTCTGTCCCTGTGTGTTGGCCCTGCGACAGACTGGCGACCTGTCCAGGGTGTACCCTGCCTCTCGCCCTATGACAGCTGGGATAGGCTCCAGCGACCCTGAAAAAGGATAAGCGGAAGCGAATGGATGGATGTTTTTAATACCTTTTGCTTAAAAGTCTTCATAAGAAATCTGCATAAGAAAGACAGACACTTTTCAATGATACAAATACTAATTTTGTGCATTCATATTTTGCTGTTTTGCAATATGTTTTTATCTTTCTGTAGCTTTGCTTTTATTCTGTTTTGCATGACTGTGGGTACCAGTGCATTTACATAAACCCTGACTGAAAAGCTTAAACCTTAAACATAATTTAAGTGATTATCAAATGAAAAGTCTACTCAACCTGCTGATTGAGCCTCTTTGTCATGCAACAAAGGGAAGGGGGAAAAAGCAATAAACTCAAACATTGTTTACTCTTGAATCTTTCAAGTGTGCGTATATGAAGATCTGGTAATCAGGGGTCATCTTGTGTGATTGCCTTGTACAAAAACAAAGGAAATGGGAATGACTGAATCACAGAGAAACAGTTGATTTGTTTCTCATTTTGAAAAATAGACATGCTCCATTCCACGGCACTTACACAAAAACCAAATGCTTGATTTAAAACATACAGCAATGACGGATCTGATGAGAAATAAATGGTTATTTTTTCATTTGTACTTTCAGTTTAGGTAACATGTATGTACGTACCAGTTTTACCTTTGCTATTCAAAGGAAACACAAAAAACTATGATACCAAGCTAATGAAGTTTTTGAGTAGCAAACAGTGATATAGCAATAAGAAAATTTGCAAAAATGATGACTTATGTAACTTTAACATTGCCTTTTACTATTTTTAAAATAAAATAAGGATACTGGGGTTTGACACGGTGACCGCCAAGGTGATTGCTCTCTGGTTCGGTACAGCTTTTATCTGTCACACACATCTTTGTGCTAACAGACAGGTGTTTCATTAAGTCTCGCTGAGGTGGCCATACTTGTCACCCTGTCAGAAAATAATGATCATCACATTTTTCAGTAATCTACGTTTGTGGGCTACAGTCAGAAGATAGTTCTTATTTTCTGTTTGGGGTTGGGTGGGTAGTGTTTTTCCCTAAATGGTAAATGGACTGGTTCTTATATAGTGCTTTTCTACTCTGTCTGAGCACTCAAAGCGCTTTATACAACTAATTCATTCACCCAATCACACCCATTCACTTCTAAGCTTAATTGCTAAGTATCTAACATTCATACACATTCACACTCTGATGGATGCATCGGAGAGCAACATGGGGTTAGTATCTTGCCCAAGGATATTTGGCATGCAGACTGGAGCAGCCTGGGATCGAACCACCGGTTGATCTGCTCTGCCACCTGAGCTACAGCCACCCCAAATGAGCAGTAGAGACTGATATATTAATTAAATCATATCTATTAAAGCAGAGCTGTAGCTATAATGTAGCAGCTTAGGATGCAAAACCATATTTTTCAGTCTATGGTCTCCTGTGCTTCCAGTTCTGATCCTTTCTCTTGTGCTTGTGCTCCATGGCTGGTCTATGGCTGCCCATCTGGCACACCTATCTGGCACACCTGGCTCCAATCACAGTATCACCAATCCTCCACCCTCTCTCAATGGCATCCCCTCTCACCAGTTGCTATAGAAACAGCCTCCTCATTTGTTGTTTTAAGTTTTCTGTAATGAATTCCCTCGTGATCTGTGGCGCTCCAACGTTGACTCTGTTCTGCATGTGCCAGTTAGATTCTCTCTTTGTTCAGTCTGCCATAATCTCTTTTTTTCTATATAGTTGTGGCCAGGTTCTGACATTACTGGAGTTTTTTTTTTTTAATGTTAAGAAATATTGATTTTTGTCACATAATCTTATCGTCTCCATGTGCAGGCATGATTGCCGCCTAGAAATAGACCACGAGAAGGTTTGGGTTTTCTTTTTATATGATCCTGGGCATCTAATTGCATGATGCAGACAAATAGGAGGCATGTATTTTAATCATTCTGAAAATAAAGTTCAAAATGTTAACCTACAACAGGTGTGTGGAAGACAGGACTGTATATACACTTAATAATTACACAGCAAGACACGGAAAGGAGAAGAACTTGGCTGGAAGTAAATTAAATTTTAAAAATGGCAGAAAAGTGAGCACAAGAGGGCAAGAAGGATGTGCTGAAACAAGGCAGAAAGGGCACTAGAAGCGCAGGAGAGGATAATTAGTATAAAATTGATGTAGGAGCTAAACTCAAAAGGACAAAAAATGATATCATACCAGAATAACAGAGGAACAGAAACAGAAACAGGAATGTAACAAACATGAAAATTCAAACTTCAAGCATTAGAAATACCATACCATACCATACCATACCACCTTTATTTATAAAGCACTTTAACATAAAACCAGAGTTCACAAAGTGCTGTACATGCTAAAAGCATAAGTAAAGAAAATTAAAATGAGATAAGATAAAATAAATAACTAAAAAACTAAAATAAATTGAAACATGTCAAAACAAATTGAGTCAACCCCTCTAATCAATGCCAAAGGCTTCAGCGAATAAATATGTTTTAAGAAGACTTTTAAATTCAGAGAGAGAAGAGGCCTGCCTAACATGCAAGGGTAGATCATTCCACAACTTTGGAGCAACTACAGCAAAAGCACGATCACCTTTAGATTTATACTTAGTTTTTGGTACCTTAAGGAGCTGCTGATTGGCGGACCTAAGGGAACGGGGAGGTGTATATGGTTGTAGTAGCTCCGAGAGGTAGGGGGGGGCCAGGCCATTAAGAGATTTAAAAGCAAATAAGAGAATTTTAAAAACAATCCTAAAATGTACAGGTAGCCAGTGGAGTGAAATTAAAAATGTCATTGAAATGTGTCAGTGCAGGAAAAGCAGACAGTGTGAAATGGTTCTACTGGTTCTTCTAGAAAAATATTCACTGAAGTCCCAAATATGCAGCTACTTAACTGTCTTCATCACTGGTTGTGTGGTATACACAGGCCTTGTCCACCACAGGACATCTTCACTTCAAACCCTCAGCTACTGGATTCTTCTGTCTGTCCAGAAACCCTTTAAACTCAGTGCTTGTGGCCATATTGATTAAAGAAACTCTATCAGTTTGGTATCATGTTTCTATTTATCTGTTGCCAGTTTTATTTAGAATAGATCGTGTCCGAAAAAAAAATAAAAAATCAGTTTCCATGTTACAGGGGGTTGAGTTGTTTTTCCAAGTGTGGACATGCTTGTCAGCGACACCGGACCCATTAAAATAAATGAATTCACGTTGCAGCATGAGGGCACAAATACGGATTGCTTCTTCCAGGAAATCAAAATTAAAAATTTCACAGGATCTCTAAAGCTGTATCACTGCTTTCTTGTAAACAAATGAAACTCCAGTTCACCGTGACTGTTGCGCATTATTTGTATACTTGAAGCCTCAAAAGCATGTTTTTCCTCATAAACTATTCGATTATGTGAGATTATTGAAACTATTCTGTTTCTTCCACCCATCCATCCCCAGCAGCCTGCTGTCACTCTGTGTTCAGCCTTTGTTGTAACTGATCATCGGTGGAATAAGGTGAAACCAATTCAAGAATATGAATCTCACTGAATATGTTCTCATGTGTGAATCTTACAGTAAAGAGGAGGCCTCCAGAGTGCTGCTAGCTGCTACCAAAAGCTTCACAGTGTAATTCTGACAGCCACTATTTGCAAGATTAGAATATTTGAAACCTGAATCCAATGAATCAGGAGACATTATAGCTCATCATTTTCTTTCCATCTTTCAAACCTTTTATTGTTATCTTCACTACCCTGTAGAAAGCGAACCGTAAGTAACATGATCCACTGAATATTATTAAACAAGTGAGACAGATACTATTCAGCCTCTGAGGAATTCACGTCTGTATCACCACATGATCTAATTTTTCACTCACTGAGGTGAGAATTAAATGCAGCTCTCTATCCTTCCACCATTAACAAACATCAGAGCTGAATTTTCAGCACTAACACGAAGATTTCTGAACACTACCCGTCACATACATGACAGAAATATTTGTGTCACACTCTCATGGCAGTATGGCGCATGATGCTTCCCTGAACAAAAATTGCCCATTAGCATCCCAAACACTAGTGATGTAACTCCCCGTGGTCGTGGGTTGACGTTTGTGCCATGACGGTACAGCTGCTGCCTATGGGTGCACACGGCGGTGTGATCCAATGAAGAAGTGTCCTGCAGTCTCGAGGTTCCCAGTATAGCATTTAGGCTGATTGGTTTGTTGCAACAGCTGCTTCACTACTATGAATCTCTTGAGACGCTTTTATATTGGATAACCCAAGCTTGCTGCCTCTGTTTGTGTGTGTGCGCGTGTGGCTATGTGTTTGATTTGCTGCTACATCGCTACAACCTCCTAAAGGTTATGGGTGCTTGATTGCGTATGACTGCACAAAGACAGAGCACCCTTCTTGCGTTGTATCACTTGGAGACTAGAAAGAACAAAGCAGAATGGAGAG